GGTGGGGACCTGGGGCAGAGCTGGGGTGGAGTGTGGGCAGGGCCATGTGTGGGAGAGGTGGGCAGGGAGCTAGGTTCCCCCAGTGGAAGCTTCATCTGCTGCCCATGTCCAGGTCTCTTTTATCTCTTGGAGCTAGCCCTGTTAGCCTGTACCTGCATTAGACTCCAGCCACTGGGAGCACCAGCAGTCAGCATGGTTGCAGACCTACCTACCTTGCCTATTACCTACCTCCTGCCTGATCCAGTCCCTAAGATTATAGAGCCAAACGTCAGGTGATCCATGGGCTGCAGGCACTCCCATGCTGAGAGATATTTGAACTTTTTTTTTTTAGGCTCCAGCCACTATTTTAATCCTTAAACCTAATAACACATTCCTCAGTAACCATTTACTGCTGCACAAATTAATTAGTTGACTTTTGCAAGGTGCTTTCGTAGTGGAAAGTGCTTCATAAGTACTAAGAATTATTATTATAGACAGGAGAATTGTCTCATCTCCTACCTCCACATTAGTGGGTGAAATTGCTAGAGAAACAGTTTGTCTGTGTTATGCATTTATAATGCACCCATGGCCGTTGTCTCAAGTTAATCGTGTGTAATTTCCAGGATTGGGTTGATTAGCCAAGATATCAGTATTGTAGAACCCATCAGACATTCACAAATTTGGAAAATGTCCAACGCTAGTGAAGGTATAGTCATAACTCCGTCTGTCCCCTATCTTCAATATGGGCCTGATCTATGCCCATTGAGGCTTTCCACTGGCTTCAATGGTCTTTGGATCAGGCACTTACCTACCCTGATGACTAGGAGATCCAATGCAGATGATCACAATTTGTGAGTAGATGAACACATGGTAAAAATATACCCAAACAACTCCAGGGTATTACATCACACAATAGGACTTGTTTGTTTAGTTTGGCCAAAGATAGGTCCAAATCAAATACTAAGAACCCCAACTCACCAAACTTTTTTGGGGGGGCGGGAGGCGTGATTAATACTTCCCTAACGGAGGTGTGTGAGGATAAATTCACTAATGTATGTGAACTCAGGAACTGAAGTTTTGCAGCATCAGCCTCTCTCTAATTGTGACAAGTGTGGTGTAATTTTAATTATTTATGATCACTCTCCTCAGCAGGCTGGTAAATGTTCTGTAGTATGTTTAGCAAAGGTAACAAGATATTAGTAAAGTGAGCTCACACTACAGCCTGTGACTATTATATCTTTCCTCAGAAGTGGGGTGAAGTGGTTGGGTTTTTCTAATGGGATTTATGGGGTATAAGGTTCTTGAAGTGAGGATTAATTCATCCTACTGTGTTCCCAAGATAAATCAAAGCAGAGGGGTCTGCATATTGGGCCTCGCAACAGCTTCAGCAGCACCATTTACAGGGAAACTAGCTGCTGGTAATGTGTGATATTTCCAAAAGTAAGATGAGAAGAAGTTGTTGGTGAAAGAGTCTGCTGGCTTGAAGTAGCTGAGGCAGCTGATTTTTTTCCCCCCTTGAAGCTTAACTGGTACAGAGAAGTTACTATGGAAACCAAGAGATGCAGTTGCTTGCCCTAGTGTCTCTGGCAACAAATGAACACAGTCATTGCTTACATTTGTCTGTTTGATTTAAGGTTTATGGTGCACTCTGCTGGCAAATGGGTGAATATATAAAGCAGCAAGCTTTACTATTGGTTAGAGGAGGTGGGCAAACTTTATCTAGAACTGTTTTCAATCAAAAAATCCAATTTTGTCAAAAACTGGAGCATGTTGTAGGGACATGGGAATGGCATTTTCAGTGGAAAAGAGTCAAACCGTTTCATGTTGACAGTGTCAAAAGATTTTGTTTCCATAGTGTCATTTCAGTTTCATTTGGGCTTTTGTATTGCATTAAAATATTAACTTTAATATTATATATTATATGTATTCTGTATGAAATATATACATGTATATAATATTTAATATTTTAATATCATATAAAAGTTAAAATGAAATGTATCAAAATGATACTATTAAAACAAGTGTTGTAGTTGTGTTGATCTCAGGCAAGCCTGGGAACTTAAATTCATAATCCTTCCGGGCACTAAAAACTATGGACTTAACAGGACACTGGTTTGATGGCCCATTACAACAATTTGTAACACTCCCTGCTGCCTACTAAGGGCTTGCCTACACTTAAAACACTACAGCACAGCTGCACCGCTGTAGTGCTTCTGTGTAGACACTACCTGCACCAACAGGTGGGGTTCTTCTATCAGCGTAGGTAATCCACTTCCCTGAAAGGTGATAGCTAGGTCTACATCGGGAGTTAGGCTGGCATAGCTATGGCCTGGTATACTACGTGGTTAGGTCAATGTAAACTGCCTTGTGTTGACCTAGTTGTGGAAATGTTTTCACTTAAATTTGGCTCCTGCTGTCATAACTGCCTCTCTATGCCGTTTTAGTAACACCACCTCCCTGAGCTGCACAGAGTCACAGTCGATGTAATTAGGTCAACACAGTGTAAGTATAGACACTGCTTTGCTTATGTGGACTGTTACTGGATTTCAGGAGACATCCCACAAAGCCCCACACTGACAATACAATCGATACAAGTGCTCCTGGTGAGGACGTGCACCACCGACACAAGGAGCCAAATACGCGTGCACACAAGCAATTTTATAACTGCGATGGCTGTATGCTAACGTAAATTAGATTGACGTAATTTTGTAGTGTAGACATGGCCTATACCTCTCAGAGGTATGGAATTTTCACCCTCCCTGAGAGACGAAGCTATACCAGTGTAGGTTCCCAGCGTAGACCATCCCTAACCCTCCAGTGTTGTACAACTGCAGAAGTGTTAATTGTCCATTTCATTTTAAGTGGTCTCCTACAACATGTGTGAACCCCTTATACCTCATACCCCTTTGTCCCACCTTGTATTTAGCACTGGTATTGGCACTGGTTACCTTCTCCAGGCCTGAAGAGCTCTGTGGAGCTCGAAAGCTTGTCATCTCCAGCAACAGAAGCTTGTCCAATAAAAGATATGGCCTCATCCATCTGGTCTAGCTCACTATTGAAATAAAACATTTCAAAGATACCAAATTGAAGTTTTTCAGAATTTTCAATTTGTGGGAAATTTTTGCCTTTTCATTCCTATTTGGAACTTTTTTTTTTAAATGTTGGAATTTTCTATGGAGTGGAGGTTTTGGTTCCCAATCAGCTCTAGTATCAATTCACTTTGAGTCCGAGGATCATTTGAAATAATTATAAACAAGGTGCTTTAATGTTAACAGAGAAAACATAATTTTTACTAGATCCATGCAGTGGTTCATTGGGCACATCCATTGACTTTTGTGCCTGGCATAGAAGCAGGTGATAACCTTCGGGTGTAACTCTGTGTGGCAAGATGTTATAGATCATGATTCATTTGCTTACCAGATGTATTTGGCAGCAAGGCTGCCCTGATTTAATAGTTCTCTGAATTTCCGATCCCTTTTTTTCCCTTCTTTGTTTTGCTAACTTTGCTGTCTTTTAATATAAAAATGTTGAAAGGGTTGGAACAGGCTGGCTAGGGCGGTAAGCCCAGAAGCAAACATACTCATGCCATATCAAAGTTCCACCACTTTTAAGCATCTTGAAAGGAAAGGAATTGATTCCAGATTCTCAGGATGTGGCAAGCTGTGTTTAAAGAAAGTGTGCGTATTTATTATTTCAAGCCCGTTCAGTTACAAGGGACTTGATTCCTTCCACCCCCCACATCACCCAATAATTTCCTAACAGGCTTCCCTAAAGGAGTGGTCCTCACAGCACAGGAATAGTCCAACTTCCTGCTTGGATAGTGTGACTAGATTGTTCTATCCTCTGACCTTTTTCACGAGACGCCACTGCTGTGGTTAAAATCATGAACATTTAATCCCCTGCACAGCTGATGCCAGAGACAGAAATCCTAGGAAGAGCGCAATGAGTGTGATCTTCACATTAGTTTCACAGAGAGACAAGGTGGGTGAGGTAATAGCTTCTTTGGACCAACTTCTGTTGGTGAGAGAGACAAGCTTTCAAACTTACACAGAGCTCTTCTTCTCTTTAGCCGTAGTTACTTGAGTTTTCCCGCCTCCCTTGAGAGCAGATTCTTCTAATTGCCACATATTTACCACAAGGCCTGGTCTGAGCATAGGACTGAAAGCCAGGATCTCATGAGTTCTAACATTGGCTCCTTCTGTGACCTAGAGCAAGTCACTTAAGCTTTATAAAACAAGGATAGCAGTAGCTATTTACCTACTCACTGGAGTATTATGAGGATTAATTATCTGAAACACTGTGCATATGTTCAGTATTATGATTATTATTTTTGCTTGTCTATATTGCTTATGAAAGGGACGATGTGTAATAACCACCCAATTGCAGTTAGTTCTTCCTAAAATTGTGTGCTCTTTGGCTCATAGAATGAGCCCTTTGATTTCATTCATGAGTTTAAAAAGTTGTTCTTGAATTGAGTTCTTTGGGGGCACTAGATCCTGTGTGGGTGGGCGCATTCATTAGCGGAACGAGAGGATGTTTTACTGTACTGCTCTTCACTAGGATCTGAGCTGGGAGACCACCAACGTGATTTAATTCGGTGGAATTTCCAGCCGTCTGACCAGAGGATTCCACTGGTCTGGTTTGGATTTAGATCAAGGGCCCAAAAATAAAAGAGCATTAAATCATTAATTTACATGTGATTAAATGCCATTCACCTCCTTCGGCAGCTACATCACACTTTGCGGTTAAGCATGTGAGGTGAGAAACATCTCTCTCTCTTTATGTACTATATATATATGTCTATAATATATATGCACACACACACACAGGGCCTGACTCTCCTCTGACCTACATTGGTTTTATGCTAATTTAATTCCACTGCCTTCTATGGAGTTACTCCAGGTGAGAGCCGTGTCAGCCCCACAGTGAATATACATGCACAGTATGAACACTGTGTCTGTGTGTTCTGATCCTTTCTAGAGGCCATCACGTACCTCCGTAAATAAACAGAAAAACATCAGTTCACTTCAAAAGGAATTTATGCCACACAGAAAGGTTACAGAAGTGATGAGACTGTGAGGCAGATTCTCCCTTGAATCCAAGCGATGCCAGGTGCCAGTGAGGATGGGGGTCATTATCGAGATGATTACAGCTCCCTGATTCTGCAGGACAGTCTGCATTAACCCTGGCTCCAGCTCCACCGTGAGTTAGAGCAGCCTATGTCCTGCTCTACCCTCCAGCAGCTGAGGGTCAGCATAGCAAAGTGGAACTCCTCCTCTCCCCTGAAACATCCCCTCCATGTGGGTGAGGGGCAGCTGGTCACAAGTCAGCTCCAATTTAGCAATCTCTCCCCTCCCACCCCCCCGCCAGCCAGTTACTACCAAAATCTGGCTTCTTTGCATCTTAGGAGCAGCCCAAAGGAGCTGAATAGTCATTGAAAATCTGGCCCTAATGCTGGATGTCTTCATGAAACTTATCATGAAATCATTAGAGTCTATAAAAATGACTTTACCCAGACTAGCTATGTATAAACTGAGGAGAGTTCCAGTATGTATCGTACATACAGACCATACATAGAAGATGAAGGACTATAGGCCCCGTATATTCTCTTCAGATACCTTGGGTCCCGGTTATTGTTTTATACGCAGACAAACGATACGTAGTGGTGGTAGCAATAGGATAAATCACAGAGCCATGGGATAAATATAATCCGGCAAATAGTTGCACAATTTGTCATGTACCTTTGACCCCTCTCACCTGTGCTCCAGGTTTCCTGGGTGGCTCTGGCTGGTGGGGGGGAAAGCTTTGGGGGAGAAGAGGAGGAGCAGGGGGTGGGGGTGCAGGGGAAAAGGAGGGGCAGGGGCGGGGGCCGACGGGGGGGGGGGGGCAGGGCTCCTCCATGTGTCTTGTTTTGCCTTTTGAAAAGGTGATCACCTAGCTGGCAGACACTTCTTTTCTTTAACGAAGACTTTATTTCCCCCCGTGAGCTTGAATATTCCTCCAGGTCCTGCTGCTGGCTGAACCGGGATGCTTTATTCTCTTTCCCTGCTGAGCTCCCTTGCTCACGCATAGGCACGGTAGAGCAGCTGGAACTGGATTAGACCAATCTGGTGGCAGCAGTTCTGCGAGAAATTAAGCACCTAGCTGCTGAAATGGGAGACCTAAATTGCATTGTTATTTAAAATTCAGTTTTAAGGATCATTACCATAAGTGACCCCTTCCCTTCCCTGCTGGCCCTTGCTATAAGCAGTAAAACAAAACACGGAGGCCTCCTTTCTGGATTGTGAGATTGTTACCGGCACCATGGGTCAGATTCTGATCTCATTAACTCTACTTTCACACTGGGGTAACTCCATTGACTTCGATGCAGTCAGAATCAAGTCCTCTATATAGTTGTCATGGACATGGATTTGTGGGAAATTATGGCCCCAATTCAGGAAATTTTGCTTAAGCACATGTCTAAATTTAAGTACATGAGTAGCCCCGTTGACTCCAGGAGGATTACTTACAGCCTTAAATGTAGCCACATACTTTATTACCTTCCTGAATATGTTATTATAGGGCAGAATGTCTAATGACATAGAATTCCGTGACCTAATCCTGCTCTCTTAGAAGTCAGTGTGAAAAACTCCTATTGACTTCAATGGGAGCAGGAATGGGGCATAATATTTTTTTCCCAAAAAATATTTTTGACTGTTATTCTGATGCAAATTGTCTTTGTAGAAGAACTGGAGGGAAATTAATAAACATAACTGGAAAACGATGTTGCCACTCTCGAGATTTTATCTGGTCTTGCAATATTTGGTATTTTCCTTAAAAATGCACTCCTGGAGGCAAGTGATTACATGAGAATCCCAGATTTGATTTTATTTTTAAATGGTAAATTTTTAGTCCTCCTCCTTGCAGAGAAAAGCTTGGCATGAGAACCGCAAAGTCTCAAAAACAAAGAGGCAAAGGAAAAGAACACAAAGTTTATTATTTTAAGATCTCATAGTTTTTAAGTAAGATTTTGGGGATCTGATGCATGACTTTTGAATGCTAGGGGTTGGCATTACTGAAAATATTAGAAGCAAACCAAATTTAAGGTAGAGATTTTTTAAAGCCAGCAAAGAAATTAGAACACCATAATGAACATAAGAATGGCCATATTGGGTCAGACCAATGGTCCATCTAGCCCTGTATTCTGTCTTCTGACAGTGGCCAATGCCAGGTGCTTCAGAGGGCATGAACAGAACAGGCAATCATCGAGTGATCCATCCCCTGTCATCCTCTCCCAGCTTTTGGCAATCAGAGGCTAGGGACACCCAAAGCATGGGGTTGCATCCCTGACCATCTTGGCTAACAGTCATTGATGGACCAATCCTCCATGAACTTATCTATTTTGTTTTTTAATCCCATTATAGTTTTGGCCTCACAACAACCCCTGGCAATGAGTTCCACATGATAACTGTGCATTGTGTGAAGAAGTACTTCCTTTTGTTTGTTTTAAACCTGCTGCCTATTAATTTCATTGGGTGACCCCAGGTTCTGGTGTTATGTGAAGGGACAAATAATACTTCCTTATTCACTTTCTCCACACTAGTCACAATTTTATAGAGCTCTATCTTATCCCCTCTTATTCATCTCTTTTCCAAGCTGAGAAGTCCCAGTCTTTTTAATCTCTCCTCATATGGAAGCTGTTACATACCTTTAATCATTTTGTTGCTCTTCTCTGTACCTTTTCCAATTCTAATATATCTTTTTTTGAGATGGGGTGACGAGAACTGCACACAGTATTCAAGGTGTAGGTGTACGATGGATTTATATAGTGGCATTATGATAGTTTCTGTCTTATTATCTATCCCTTTCCTAATGGTTTCTAACATTCTGTTAGCTTTTTTGACTGCAGCTGCATACTGAGCAGATGGTTTCAGAAAACTATCCATAATGACTCCAAGATCTCTTTCTTGAGTGGAAACAGCTAATTTAGAACCCATCATTATATATGTATAGTTGGGATTATGTATTCCAATGTACATTACTTTGCATTTAGCAACATTCAATTTCATCTGCCATTTTGTTGCCCAGTCACCCAGTTTTTGAGATCTCTTTGTAACTCTTCACAGTCTGCCTTGTACTTAACAATCTTGGGTAATTTTTTATTGTCTGCAAATTTTGCCATCTCACTGTTTACTCCTTTTCCCAGATCATTTATGAATATGTGAACAGCACTGGTCCCAGTACAAACCCCAGAGGGACTCCACTATTTACCTCTCTCCAATCTGAAAACTGATCATTTATTTCTACCCTTTGTTTCCTATCTTTTAACCAGTTACTGATCCATGAGAGGACTTTCCCTTTTATTCCATGATTTTGCTTTATTTTGCTTAAGAGCTTTAGGTGCAGGACCTTGTCAAAGGCTTTCTAAAAGTCCAAGTACACAATATCCACTGGATCACCCTTGTCCACATGTTTATTGACACCCTTAACACATTCTAGCAGATTGGTGAGGTATGATTTCCCTTTACAAAAGCCATGTGACTCTTCCCAAAAAAATTGTGTGCATCTATGTGTCTGACAATTCTGTTCACAGTTTAAACCAATTTGCCTGGTACTGAAGTTAGGCTTACTGGCCTGTAATTGCCAGAATGGCTTCTGGAGCCTTTTTTAAAAATTGGTGTCACATTAGCTATCTTTCAGTCATCTGGCACAGAAGCTGATTTAAATGATAGGTTACATATCACAATTTCAAATTTGCATTCCTTCGGAACTCTTGGGTGAATACCATCTGGTCCTGGTGACTTATTACTGTTTAATTTTTCAATTTGTTCTAAAACTCCTTTATTGACGCCTCAGTCTGGGACAATTGTTCAGATTTATCACCCAAAAAGAATGGCTCAGGTTGGGAATCTCCCTCATATCCTCTGCAGTGAAGACCAACACAAAGAATTAATTTAGTTTCTTCGCAATGGCATTATCTTCTTTGAGTGATTCTTAAGCACCTCAGTCCTCCAGTGGCCCCACTGTTTATTTGGCAGGCTTCCTGCTTCTGATGTACTTAAAAACAGTTGCTGTTACTTTTTGAGTCTTTGGCTAGTTGCTCTTCAAATTCTTTTTTGGCCTGCCTAATTATACTTTTACACTTGACTTGCCAGAGTTTATGCTCCTTACTATTTTCTTCCGTAGGATTTAAGTTCCAATTTTTAAAGGATGCCTTTTTGCCTCTAACCGCTTCTTTTACTTTGTTTAGCCATGGTGGCACTTTTTGGTCATCTTACTGTCTTTTAAAATTTGGGGTACTCTTTAATTTCAGCCTCTATTATTGTGTTTTTAAAAGTTTCCATGAAGTTTGCAGGTATTTTATTTTTGTGACTGTACCTTTTAATTTCTGTTTAACTAACTTCCTCATTTTTCTGTAGTTCTCCTTTCTGAAGTTAAATGCTACTGTGGCATTTGACTCTATGCTCCCATATTCCCAATGCCTTAGGCAACTTTGAAATCTCAGTCTAAAGTTCTCCTAACATAGATAAGGCATCTAGATTGATGTATTTTACTTATATATAGTTACATAGTGCCAGTCACCTTTACAGACAGTCTGAAAAAATGATAATTGCCTTGAAAGCTTGCAGCCTAAATAGCAGTATAATGTCTAGGCCTGATTCTCTTCCTTTTATCTTCTGCTGCCCCCACCCCGCAAGTCAGGAGTAAATTTGAACGCCATAGAGTTACATTGGCATAGCAATTGGTGCAAGAGGCGAATCAGGCCCTTTTATGTCTATGTGGACGTAATATTATTCTGAATATAATCATATAGTAATCAATTTCTACCTATTGTGCCAATTTCTGCTGGCAGCTACACCACTGTATGGGTGGAGTAACTTGGTTTAAATCAGTGGTGTGCATCTGGATTTAGACTGGCATAAATGAGAGCAGAATTTGCCCATTGTGTGCACAGTAGAAAGAGAAACTTAAACATACAAGGAGCAATTTTCTTTGCTTAAATACTAGAACACAAGGGGTCCCCACAGCACTGTGACTGAAAGTTAGGCTGTGCACTTACACATTTTCTCTTGTTTTCCCCAGTACATTTCTGTACTTAGTGCTACTTTGTTGGTTCCAGAAGCATCTCTTGTTGTTTGATAAGTAAACAACACAGCATAGTCTGAGTAAACACACAGCAACCTAAATAGGGATGCCGGAGTGAAAATCTTGCATTATGAATAAATTCTGTGGCTTTATTACATTCAGGGCGTCATTCTTCTTTCACTACACTGGGGCAAATCAGGAGTCACTCCACTGAAATAAATGTAGTGACACCAGGATTAAACTAGTGCCAATGAGGTCAGAATCAGGCCCTTTGGGAAGTGGTCTGGGAATGGGATGCATCTGTTTTTCCCTGCAGAGTGTAGATGTTTTGTGAAATACAAGTTAGCAGTTGTTTTACCTGGAGCAGCTACAGAACGGCGTCTTTACCTTTTGCCATCTCCTGGCCTTAAAACAAGTGCCAAACCATTGGAAGTGAACCCTTTTTAATCCATTCTTTAACTGCTTTCCAAGTCCTGTTTCCTCTGTTCAAAACAACCCTCTCTGTATATATTCCTGATGCTCTCTTCATATAGGTCCTGTAGGACCATTTGATTAAGTGTGTTTTACTCCTCCATTGTAATCCAGAGTAAGGACAAGTGAGCTAGGAATAAACTTGAATCTTCAGCCCAAAACTGGAACTGAATCAAATGTAAAACTTTATGGAGACTTGAAAAAATTCACCAATCTTTCTTTTAAATGAATTTCAAATGCATCTATGCTACCTGGTTTCATCTAGGAATAAACCCAAAATACTGTGATAAAGCCTGTTTTTGTGATATTTTCAGCCTGGCTGAAAGTGGGAAATCTCACAAAAGAGTCTAATATTCCCAGATTTCCAGATTCAGATACATTGAAATAAGTTTCAAGGAAGCAGCCAAACTTTTTGATCCTTCTCTGACCCAAGCCTTTTATGGCTGGCTCCTCACTGCTCCTGACAACTCAGACCCCAGTAGTAGAGACCCCGAGGTGAAAGTCCCGGGAGAGGAGATTGCAAAGTCATCTATGGGGGTTCAGCACAGCTGAAAAAGGGGGCAGCCGTCTATCTTAGATATGATATGGCCCCCATTATCAGAGCATCTCACAGTCCATATTTAGTCTCACAACACACCTGGGAGGCAGAGCAGTGCTATTATCCTCGCTTTACAGATGGGCAACAGAGGCACAGAAAAACTATGTGACTTGCCCAAGGTCACGCAGAAAAGCTTGTAGAAGAGCTGGGAATTGAACATTGGTCTCCCAAGACTCAGATGAGTTCCTCACCCCTGGACCAGCCTTCTTCTGACTAAGGGCATTATGGGCAACCAGGGGAGGTGAAGTTTCTGCCCTGTCCTTCCACCAGCAGGGCTGCTATGCAGTGCGTGGAAACTGACAGTTTTGCCAAAGTGGCCCCAAGACTTTGGAGAGTATGTCTGGCCATATCATCCTCATTGGCCTGTGACTGTGGAGTGAGCGGCAACATAAGGATGTAGGGTAACATTTTCAAAAGTGCCAAAGTGACTTAGACCCATTGACTTCTAATGAAATGCAGCCTTGTAAGTGCCTAAATCACTTGAAAATGGGACATAGGCTCCTAAATCACGTCGGTGCTTTTCAAAAATTATACCTTACATATAATTAATGGCTTCATTAGGCACTGAAGATAGGTGGTGGGGACCGGTACTAAGGCACTTGTAGGAGAGAGAAAGAGAATGCCTAGAAGAGAGAGCTCAGGAAAAGGGGATAGCATAGAAGAGAAAAAGAGACTTTAAACTAAGGGTGTGCCTGTACTGTGATTGCAGCTCATGTAGGCATATCTGAGCCAGCTTTATTCTTGCTGACTTGGGTACCTGAGCAATGAAGCCACGGCAGTCTGAGGTCCAGCGCCCACTAGCCACCCAAGTAATTACCTAGTGTCCTGAGTGGGCTGGTGCAGCACATACTGAAGCCCATGCTGTCATGGTTTCACTGCTCCAGTACCCACGCTAGCTAGATTAAAGCTAGCTCAGGTATGTCTACACAAGTTGCAATCACATCCTGTGATTGCAGTGTAGACATATCCTAAGAAGCAAAGCAAATCAGGGCAAGATGCCTACCCCAGAATCAGCACAGTTGGCATAAATCGCATGCATTGTAATTAAAGATATATAGAAACAATAGGAAGAAAGAAAAGGAACTCTTTTTTTTTTAAAGTGGAAGGCAAAAATATCCTCTGCGTACTACAGCAAAGGGCACATTGCAGTCTTAGTGCATCCATTTGTTAAAGGGTTAATCTAGCCAATTAAAGGTTATAATACAGAGCTTAAGCCTGTTTGGAAGAGTGGGTGGGAGAGAGGGAGTTGACAATACGGATCCCTGGTCTTTAATCAGGCTGTTTGATTAGTAGAATTATATTATTTTCTTACCTTAAATTGCTGGTTCTAAGTTGTTTTTCCTCTCCTGCCAGAAAACAGTATTGGATCTCTTCTAATATCAAACACCATGAATCTGGAAGTGATCAAGGAAGGTGGTTTATTTTCTTAAAGGAAAAATAAATCTCAGGTTGTTTGTGTGAGACTGCGAATATTTATGTGCTGTTCCCCCTTTTCCCTCATTGCATATTTCATCAAGTTCATTTGCGTGTGTTGTGGGATAAATCTTAATGGGAAGGGGGGGGGTCGAAAAGAGCAATAAAAAGAAAAAGCATCAATCAGTTACCCAGGGTAGCTGCGGCAAGCACAACTCATTTTGTACACAGATCATAGTTTGTTAAACTCGCTTGGGCTTGACAATTAAGGAACGTGCAGTTCTGCCAGGGTCATTCTGGGGTAATTTCACGTGACAAATACAAAGGAATTCACATTGTTTTGTTCTGACAACTTAGAAGTTTTGTTGTCTCTGTGGTTTCAATGGTATTCTCTCATAGAAAGAGCCACATATATTGTACTCCTTAGGCCTTGATACCTCACATTGTAATAAATACTAATTAAAGTCCTGATCCTGCAGTCAGATCCACAAAGGCTTAAGAACATGAGAACGGCTATACTGGGTCAGACCAAAGGTCCATCTAGCCCAGTATCCTGTCTTATGACAGTGGCCAGTGCCAGGTGCCCCAGAGGGAATGAACAGAACAGGTAATCATCAAGTGATCCATCCCCTGTCGCTCATTCCCAGCTTCTGGCAAACAGAAGCTAGGAACAGCATCCCTGCCCGTCCTGGCTAATAGCCATTGATGGACCTATCCTCCATGAAATTATCTAGTTCTTTTTAAAACCCTGTTATAGTCTTGGCCTTCAACATCCTCTGGCAAGTAGTTCCACAGGTTGACTGTGTGTTATGTGAAAAAATACTTCCTTTTGTTTGTTTTAAACCTGCTACCTATTAATTTCATTTGGTGACTCCTAGTTCGCGTGTTGTGAGAAGGAGTAAATAACACTTCTTTATATACTTTCTCCACACCAGCCATGATTTCATAGACCTCTATCATATTCCCCCCTTAGTTGTCTCTTTTCCAAGCTGAAAAGTCCCAGTCTTATTAATCTCTCCTCATATGGAAGCCGTTCCATACCCCTAATAATTTTTGTTGCCCTTTTCTGAACCTTTTCCAATTCCAATATATCTTTTTTAAGATGGGGCGACCTCATCTGTATGCAGTATTCAAGATGTGGGCCTACCATGGATTTATATAGAGGCAATATGATACTTTCCGTCTTATTATCTGTCCTTTCTTAATGATTCCCAACATTCTGATCGCTTTTTTGACTGCCACTGTACATTGAGTGGATGTTTTCAGAGAACTAGCCACAATGATTCTAAGATCTCTTTCTTAAGTGGTAACAGCTAATTTAGACTCCATTATTTTATATGTATAGTTGGGTTTATGTTTTCCAATGTACATTACTTTGCATTTATCAACGCTGAATTTCATCTGCCATTTTGTTGCCCAGTCACCCAGTTTTGAGGGATCCTTTTGAAGCTCTTCGCAGTCTTCCTGGGACTTAACTATCTTGAGTAGTTTTGTATTATCTGCAAATTTTGCCATCTCACTGTTTACCCCTTTTCCCAGATCATTTATGAATATATTGAATAGGACTGGTTCCAGTGCAGACTCCTGGGGGACACCACTATTTACCTCTCTCCATTCTAAAAATTGACCATTTATTCCTACCCTTTGTTTCCTATCTTCTTACCAGTTACCAATCCATGAGAGGACCTTCCCTCTAATTCCATGACAGCTTACTTTGCATAAGAGCCTTAGGTGCAGGACCTTGTCAAAGGCTTTCTGAAAATCTAAGTACACTATATCCACGGGATCCCCCTTGTCCACATGCCTGTAGACCCCCTCAAAGAATTCTAGTAGATTTTTGAGGCATGATTTCCCTTTACAAAAAACATGTTGACTTTTCCCCAACAAATTAAGTTCATCTATGTGTCTGACAATTTTGTTATTTACTATAGTTTCAACCAGTTTGCCCGGTATTGAAGTCAGGCTTACTGGTCTGTAATTGTAGATTGGCGCTTAAATTCTTTGTCTGCCTGATTGTTTCTCTCAGGTCCAGCCTCGAGAGCTCCCTTATCAATGTTATAAAACTTCCTATCAATAATGCGGAACCATCATCATTATTTCTTCATTTCTGAAGTCCCTGTTACCAAGTATAAAAAAGAGCCAGATTTTCCTCTTCCTGTTTCTGGTGCAAAGCTGAAGTAAATCAATGGAGCTGCTACGGGTTTATATTGGTGTAACTGAGACTAGAGAAGGTGACAAACAAAATAGCATGAAAACTGAATTTCAGCAGTTCATTAAGGAAAAAAAGGGAGTCTTGAATTTAGATTGGAAAAAATAGCAGCTGAAGTTCACCAGAGCCTCCCATAGGAAGGGCTCTATGAGACGGAGGTGCAAAGTGTGCAAAAATCACTATTTTCTATCAATCTTTTCTCTTCTCGGTTAAACTGGTGTAAATATTGAGTAAATTTGTTGGTATTGTGGAGTTACTCCAGTTTTATGCCTGTGTATCTGACAGCAGAATTTTGCCAATTACTGTTAACTTTTGTTACAATCTTTATAATTCTGTGCATGTCAGGATTTGTTAATCTCATTGTTCAACACCGAGTAACCTTATCCTGCAAACAGGATATCATTGTAAATTTGGTATCATCAGCTAAACTGAACCTCGCCCTGTGTATTTGGCAGACGGTAATAAATGCATTAAATATTCTGTGGTTTCTCTGAGGTCGTAAAGTGTTATTTCTCTGGCTTCTAAGCGCTGTTAGACAAAGTTGTGAAAAACTGTAAGGGGGTGGGACAGGAAAACTGCAAAGAATGGTGTGAAATTTTTTGCTGATCTCTTTTTGTATGATTGGCTGGATGAGGTGGCGTTCAGCGATCAATCAATGCTTAACACACTAGCAAAAGCTTGGCTTTCTTCTGTGTCTGGTACTCTGGTTCCAACTGGCTGTGCCTAACAACAAGAGCTTCACAGCACCCCACCCAGACTCTCCGTCTGGAAAGCTTAGATTTTAAAAGTATAGTCCCTAATGCCATAGATGACACTGCAGGATCATAAGTGGAGTAAAGTGTTCCTAGCTGGGTATGTTGTCCAGCATGAGGCACTGGAAAATAAAGGAGGTGGTGTCACCCTGTATTTTATATCTGATTTCTGATGCAAGTGAACTTGGAACCTGTAGTTAGCTTGAATAGGCCACTCAGTGTGTAGGCACTGTGATCCCCAATGCTGGTTGTGCTTAGTGTTTTCATTGTCCATGCAGATGATATATCTCAGTTGACCCAGGTTTCTGTACTTGCCACGATAACCATGGGAATGGATTCCATTCACAGAGCTGTCCACACTCTGGATCTGGAGGTCTGGGAGGTGGTGATCGGGGGTAACATTTTCAAAAGCAATTAAGTGACGTTGGAGCCTAAGTCCCATTTTCAAAAGGGACTTAGGCACTTAGAACCCTAAATCACATTGACTTTCAATGAGACAGGCTTCTAAGGGACAGATTTTCAAAGGTATTTAGATACTTCATGATACAGATATGCACCAAGAGAATTAGGTGCATAGGCACTTTTGAAAATCTCACCAGGTTCCATTTGCATCTTTAGGCACCTAAATCCTTTAAAATCTGGTCCTAAGTGCCTACATTACTTCTGAAAATAAAACTTTGGCTCCTAATTCCCTTAGGAGCATTTTGAAAATTTTAACCCCGGGCTTTATCATGGACTGACCATTATCTCAGTCAGTTTGGGGTTGGGGCAGTTCTCTCCTGGTGGAATAACAGATCTGGCTTGATGGTCCACAATTGAATTATAATGAAACTAAGGCTTAGAGAGGCTAATTCACTTGCCCAAGGTCACACAACAAGTTATGGTCACAATTCTCACACCAGGATATGTATTGCTCCCCCATTTATTTTAGTGAGAAATACTGGGATCCTGCAAGGACCAAATAGAGCCCCTGAATTAGAACACAGATCTACTGATGCCCACTACTGTGGTTATTCTACTAGTCAAATGGCTTCTAAGGGCTGGTCTACACTTGGGGGGGGGGGGAATCGATCTAAGATACGCAACTTCAGCTACGTGAATAGCGTAGCTGAAGTCGAAGTATCTTAGATCGATTTACCTTGGGTCCTCATGGTGCGGGATCGACGGCCGCGGCTCCCTCGTTGACTCCGCTCACTCCGGTGGAGTTCCGGAGTCGATGGGGAGCGCGTTCGGGAATCGATATATCGCATCT